AGCAAGAGAATTCAAATTCTTCCAAAGAATTCAAATTAAATGTATAATGAAAACACTAAACTGGCCAAAAATATATGAGTGGCACTCACCTCTGGACAATTGCTACTTAAAAATAAAATGTTATTCAATTATTTATTATTAATTCACTTTGTTACGTTTATCATTTCATTTGATTACTTTTGCCAGAGACATAATTTACTCCACTTTTTGTGTGTCTGAAAATGTAGAACCAAGTTCTATCTATACTGTGGCATCCATTTATAGTGCTAGGGCTGGAAGAAAAGAATCTTTCTATAAGTTCAAGTATGTCACATTAGGCTTATAATGAGATTTAGGTCTTGGGATGTGATTGTCTAGTGAAGACAGTGGTGCATCTTTATTTGTGTAAAAGTGAACAATTTTTAAAAACATCTTAAAATAACACAAATCATGGAAGATGTTAGGCCAGCTATGCTAGTCACTAGTAAGCCATTATTGCTCTGTAGAAATCTTGGATTCTTTCTAAAACTGATTTTCTGACCACAGGTTGTGAACCCATTCCGGTCCGCTACCTCGAGTGGAGCAACATAGAATCTATCATCGCCATCGCCTTCTCTTGCCTGGGCATCCTTGTTACGTTGTTTGTCACCCTCATCTTTGTGCTGTACCGGGACACGCCAGTGGTCAAATCCTCCAGTCGGGAGCTCTGCTACATTATTCTAGCTGGCATCTTCCTTGGTTACGTGTGCCCTTTCACTCTTATTGCCAAACCTACCACCATGTCCTGCTACCTCCAGCGCCTCCTGGTTGGCCTCTCTTCTGCCATGTGCTACTCTGCTTTAGTGACCAAAACCAATCGCATTGCACGTATTCTCGCTGGCAGCAAGAAGAAGATCTGCACCCGGAAGCCCAGGTTCATGAGCGCCTGGGCCCAGGTGATCATTGCCTCAATTCTGATCAGCGTGCAGCTAACACTGGTGGTAACCCTGATCATCATGGAGCCCCCCATGCCCATTCTGTCCTACCCAAGCATCAAGGAAGTCTACCTTATCTGCAACACCAGCAACCTGGGTGTGGTGGCCCCTGTGGGCTACAATGGACTCCTTATCATGAGCTGTACCTACTATGCCTTCAAGACCCGCAACGTGCCCGCCAACTTCAACGAGGCCAAATATATCGCCTTCACTATGTACACCACCTGTATCATCTGGCTGGCTTTTGTGCCCATTTACTTTGGGAGCAACTACAAAATCATCACTACCTGCTTTGCAGTGAGCCTCAGTGTGACAGTGGCCCTAGGGTGCATGTTCACTCCCAAGATGTATATCATCATTGCCAAGCCTGAGAGAAATGTCCGCAGTGCCTTCACCACCTCTGATGTAGTTCGCATGCATGTCGGCGACGGCAAGCTGCCCTGCCGCTCCAACACTTTCCTCAACATCTTCCGAAGAAAGAAGTCAGGGGCAGGAAATGCCAAGTGAGTTATCTGATCTGGTTTGTTTCTCTCCTCTCCTCTTCTCC